GACCCCCGGCTCTGGAAGAGGGGGTTGGTGTGGAAGTGGGGCTCCTCCTCCTCCAGGTCCTCCTCTTCCTCGGCGTCTTCCTCCCGGGAGGAGCGGCCGTCGTCATCTTCATCATCCTCCTCCTCTTCGTCTTTGCTGCTTTCGGGGTCCCGGTGGTCAGGTGAGGTGGTCCCACCCATGGGCATGGGCTTGGGGGAGATGGTCCCACCCATGGGCACGTTCTCCTGCGAGATGGTTCCACCCATGGGCATGGACTTGAGCGAGATGGTCCCCTCCGTGAGCATGTTCTCCTGCAAGATGGTCTCCTCCATGGGCATGGTCTTGGGCAAGATGGTCCCACCCATGGACATGGTCTTGAGCAAGATGGTCCCATCCATGGACACGTTCTCCTGTGAGATGGTCCTCTCCATGGGCACGGACTTGAGCAAGATGGTCGTCTCCGTGGGCATGGACTTGGGTAAGATGGTCCCCTCCATGGGCATGTTCTCCTGTGAGATGGTCCCACCCACAGACATGGACTTGAGCGAGATGGTCCCATCCTTTGGCACGTGCTCATGCAAGATGCTCCCATCTGTGGGCACGGACTTGGATGAGTTGGTCTCATCCGTGGGTGTGGTCTTGGGCGAGATGATGCCATCTATCGGCACATGCTCCTGTGAGATGGTCTCATCCGTGAGCACGGACATGGGGGAGATGCTTCCATCTATGGACATCGACCTGGGTGAGATGCTCCCATCTGCAGGCACATGCCCACGGTCCTCGTTCGAGATGCTCCCACCCGTGGACACGTGTGAGATGCTCTTATATGTGTATCCACAGCCTTGGTCCTCATGGAAGATGCTCCCATCCACGGGCACGGGCTTGGGGCAGATGGTCCCATCTGCAGACACGTGGAAGATGCTCTCATATGCGGATCCAGGGCCTTGGTGCTCATGGAAGACGCTTTCATCCGTGGGCACGGACTCAGGTGAGATGTTCTTATCCACCATGGACGTGGGTGAGATGCTGCCACCCGTAGACATGTGGAAGATGCTCTTCAATGTGGATCCATGGCCTTGATGCTCATGGAAGATGCTCTCATCCACAGGCATGATCTTGGGCAAGACGCTCCCATCCGTGGACGCGAACTTGGGCGAGGTGCTCCCATCCGTGGACACGTGGAAGGTGCTCTCGTATGTGGATCCACGGCCTTGGTGCTCATGGAAGGTGCTCCCATCCATGGACATGAACTTGGGTGAGGTGCTCTCACCCATGGGCGCATGGAAGGTGCTCTCATATGCACATCCTTGGCCTCGGTGCTCATGGAAGATGCTCCCATCCATAGACATGAACTTGGGTGAGCTGCTTCCATCCTTGGGCTTGAACTTGGGCGAGGTGCTCCCATCCGTGGACACGTGGAAGGTGCTCTCGTATGCAGATCCTTGGCCTCGGTGCTCATGGAAGGTGCTCCCATCGGTGGGCTTGAACTTGGGCGAGGTGCTCCCATCTGTGGACACGTGGAAGGTGCTCTCGTACGCAGATCCTTGGCCTCGGTTGTCACGGAAGATGCTCCCATCCATGGACATGAACTTGGGTGAGATGCTCCCATCCTTGGGCATGAACTTGGGTGAGGTGCTCCCACCCATGGGTGCATGCCGGTGCGAG